GTGACGAGACCAATCTCGCCACATTGCATTGGAGAAGCCTGGTTGCTCGCCTGCTGCCTTTGGACTATGGCCCCCTTTTAAAAGACTTTATTTTTGCCTGCTGAAAAGCTGTATTCGTGCTTTTCTGCCTGGGGTTCAGTAGATTTGTTTGAATGTGTTATACCCCAGATAGAATCCCATGGAGCCCATTCGTATGAAACTGACTGTAAAGACTTTGGCTCCATGGCGATTAAACTGTATTTGTGTGGTCCGAGCGCCATTCACTTAATAATGTGCGCTCAGACCTGAGCTATCTGGGGATATGTGAAATGTCTGTGTGTTATGTGTAAAATGTAACTTTATGTATTTTAAAGTGTTTTGTGTCTTTTTGCAACCATGTGCTTAATGGAGTCTTGTGTCTGTCCTGGGAGATAATTGAATTACTCTCCAGGATAGAAGACTCTGAAACTGGTTTGGGCCAGAAAGCCATGCTTCATTTAGTCACAAAGGACTTTTTACTAACTTTTGAACCCCTGGTCTGATTCATGTCATTTTTTAATATGTTGTTCCCCTGAATGGATTGATTGTGTATATGTAATTTTATGTGAATGTGATGTATGGTTTTAGAGTTATGAAAGTTGGGTAGAAAGTATGTTTTAACTGTATGTGTAATTGAGTTTCCTCTCAGGATAAGGGGAGGGAATATGTGGGATGTAACTGTGATGTGATTGGTTGTTTTATACCTCCCTGTGGGCGGTCCTGTATTTGCAAGACTGTAATAAAAACCAGGCTGGGTGTGCCAGCACCTCAGACCACTGCTTGACCCTCAACACGGAGCCTTGTCTCGTTCTTGGGGGGATTCACTGTATGCTGTTAGAGACTGATTGCCAGGAGTGTAAGCTGTCTGCTTTTCCTGTTCGTCTGCTAGCAGCTATTTGGGAGGTTCCAGTTCGGGAGTTGGAGTGCTATGTTGTATCCAGTTCGTGAGTTTTGGTGATTCTACAGTAGCTGTGCCTGTCTCTAAAAAGGGGATTATCGTCTAAGCGGTTTTTTCCCCTTTTGTGCAAAACGGTCCGTTACAGCCTCCTTGCATCGTTATGCACATATGGCCACTTTTGTATTGCCGAGCCTGCGCAAAGCTCTTTGTGCCCATTCTCGTATGTCATTGGCATCCAGTTGAGTGCCAAGTCCGCATAATACAGTATCTTAGCCAGTGGGACAAGCTTGTTGAGTAGTTTATCCTGGGTTTTATCAAGCCCTTTTTCAGTTCCCTTTCCGGGGGTCCTGACCTGAGTGGGACATAAAGATCACCACTGTGGTGTCGAATTCAGGAGTGTGTGCAGTCTTGTTGGGCAAAAGTGGGTGAGGGCATTCAGCCCAGAGCCGAGCGTGCACCTGCTTCTTAATAGGTTTCCGTAACCAGAAATTAATGAAATGTGCCAGATGGTCTTGTAGTCCCCATTCCGGGTGTCCGATCGTGCCAAGGTCACACATAGGCACACTGTGTGGGTGGATGAATATACTGTCCTCCTCTGTGTCCCCACTCTTGCGGGAGTCTCCCTTGTGAAAGGGGCCATAATGTATAATTTCTTGTATGTAAAGAGAGTCCGATTGTGACATATACTGTCATTCTTTCTCCTCTGTGGCGGAATCATGTACTCTCCATTTATCAACAACCGCTAGGGAGGGGGGAGGGAGAAAGCCTTCTACATCCAAAGATGGCAATGGCGGGGGAGTTGGATCCTGTATCTCCACTTGACGGTTTCACTTCAGCGAGGCTTTGCCTTTCGTTTTTCGAGGGCCCGAGTTAGTGCCCTTCCAGTGTCATTTCCGTACCGTTTTAGAACCCATGACGTCAATGGCAAGTGGGCCATCAGGACCGTCGCTTCTGGGGGGCCTTGTACCAGTATTTTGGAGATGGCCTTCTCCACTGCAGCATTGATCATAAACTTAAAGTCTAGAGTGGGAGGTTGAGGTGAGTCAATCATGATGATAAAGTATTCATACCTTTAAGTCTGTGGAAGACAGCGTTGGTTCAGGTACAGAAGTACACATGTTTGAACACAGTAAGAGTCTTCAAGTACAACTGGGGTTCGCCTAGGGAATTTGATAATCAAATGTCAATGTTAGTGAGGTATGCACTGGCAGTTAGCCAGAACAGGGGGTCACCCTCTAAGTGACCGGGCTTAGTGTTCAAATTCGACATGGGGTTTTTTCCCAGTAGAACTGGGAGATGTGACAAACCCCTTTTTAGCTGAATTTGCCACGAGTTTTTGGAGAGACCTGCTTGCCAGCCCCTTGCCCTGTGACTATGGCCCTTGGGATGTATTGCTCTTTAAAAACACTATTTGGGAATATTGGATTTTAAAACACTGTTTCTGCCACTTTAAATTATATTGGAACAGTTTTACACGTTCAAAGTGGCACTTCGGATACAGCCACCATTCGACATTCGAACACGTGGCGGCGGTCATCTTGTTTAGACGAACGTGTTCAGCAATGTTTTATCGCTGAGTTCATAGAACTCAAATTGGACACGTGACGAACACCGCTGAACTTTACCTTCTCCAGAACTTCCACACTTCGACTGGAGTGTTCGACAATTCAAACGCCACGTTAACATTGACTATTGGCACGAACCATTCGAATGGAACTTAGAGTTGGAAATAGACCGGCCGCACAGCCTGATTCTCTGGAACTGTTTTGGGCATGAAAATGTGCATGCTGTCAGTCAAATATGACTTCCAGGAATATCCTCAACCCCTGCTCTGATCTGGGTGATTTGGGGATATGTTGTTCACCCTGACCAGGGCTTTTCAGGGGGTATGTGATGTTTTGGGGTGTTTTCTGTGTTTTGTGAAAAATTAGCTTTTTCTGCTTGGGGATAATTGAGTTAATTACAGTATGTTACTCAGTTATCTCCCAAGCAGAGGGGAGAGTTTGTGTACATCATCTGGGAGTGTCTAAGAGTCTAACAGTTTTGATTGGTTTTGTGACTTTGTGTCCTCTGCTCCACAAGGTCCACGTGGATGGTAACCTTGTGGGGAAAAACTGTATAAAAGCCAGTGTGTTCCATTAAACTGCCTGTTCCTGCTTACACTCCAAAACTGTGTGTCATCCTGTTATTGGAGGGAAAGAATACTTACTCCTGTGTCTGCTGTTCCAGCTTGCAGGAGATTCAATGGGGAAAGTCCTTGTAAGGACAAGAGCTAATTCCCCATTTGGCTCCAGGAAGGAGCGGTTCCAGGGCCCCAGTCCAGCCACGGCGACTGTGGGCAGAAATGCTGCGGTTTGTCCCCTGTTCCAGCTAGGAAGCGGTCCTTTGGCAGAGGTACCCAGTCGGGGTGCCAGGTGATCCGCTACAGGAGACGTGAGATGTCTCAGTAATCATGTGATCGGTATGCTTTGGAATTAGAAATGGTTCACTTCAGTTGCACCATGGAGGTGATTTGTGTCATGCGACATAAATCTGGTACCAATAAAGAGGGGTCATCCCTATGATCTCGCCTCAGAGGGCTTATAATGCACAGGGGGTCACCCCGGCTCAAAGGAGGGTCACCCCTGATATTAGGTCGTCAGTTTGGGATGTATGTAGAGCTTGGGGTTCACCCCAGCTGTAGAGGAGTCACCCCTATTGCAATGTGTGTAATAATTTAGTGGAGAATGCACATATGCGAGTGGAGGGGTTACCCTAGTAGTAAGGGGGGGGAAACCCCTATCGGTATTGCCTCAGTAGATATAGAGTCCTACCAGGGGCTCACCCTAATGCATCGGCCGCAATGCGCAAGTGAGGGAGGAATAGACAGTTATACATCCTAGTATCAATAGTAAGAACTATATCAGGTAAAATATCACAAGAACAAAATACTCTGACTTATGCACAGCAGGAGCATCAAAGAAAGAGGAGGAGCTATGACTGTCAGTGCTTTATACGGAATATGTTACTTGGTTTTAATTGGTTTAAGTTGTGCTGCTGGAGGCCTAAGAAATGAAATTTACATGGTAGCATTCTAAATAGTGAGGATAACTAAGCAGACACGGCAGAGTTCTAAATAGTGCAGAGAACTGAGAGGACATGGCAGCGTTCTGAATAGCGAGGAGAACTGAGAGGACACGGCAGAGTTCTAAATAGTGCAGAGAACTGAGAGGACACGGCAGCGTTCTGAATAGCGAGGAGAACTGAGAGGACACGGCAGCGTTCTAAATAGCGAGGAGAACTGAGAGGACACGGCAGCATTCTGAATAACGCAGAGAACTAAGAGGACACAGCAGCGTTCTGAATAGCGAGGAGAACTGAGAGGACACGGCAGCGTTCTGAATAGCGAGGAGAACTGAGAGGACACGGCAGCATTCTGAATAACGCAGAGAACTGAAAGGACACAGCAGTGTTCTGAATAGCGAGGAGAACTGAGAGGACACGGCAGCGTTCTGAATAGCGAGGAGAACTGAGAGGACACGGCAGCGTTCTGAATAGTGAGGAGAACTGAGAGGACACGGCAGCATTCTGAATAGTGAGGAGAACTGAACGGACATGGCAGCATTCTGAATAGCGAGGAGAACTGAGAGGACACGGCAGCATTCTAAATAACGCAGAGAACTGAGAGGACACAGCAGTGTTCTGAATAGCTAGGAGAACTGAGAGGACACGGCAGCGTTCTGAATAGCGAGGAGAACTGAGAGGACATGGCAGCGTTCTGAATAGTGAGGAGAACTGAGAGGACACGGCAGCATTCTGAATAGTGAGGAGAACTGAACGGACATGGCAGCATTCTGAATAGCGAGGAGAACTGAGAGGACATGGCAGCGTTCTGAATAGCGAGGAGAGCTGAGAGGACACGGCAGCGTTCTGAATAGCGAGGAGAACTGAACGGACATGGCAGCATTCTGAATAGCGAGGAGAACTGAGAGGACATGGCAGCGTTCTGAATAGCGAGGAGAACTGAGAGGACACGGCAGCGTTCTGAATAGTGAGGAGAACTGAGAGGACATGGCAGCGTTCTGAATAGCGAGGAGAACTGAGAGGACACAGCAGTGTTCAGAATACCGAGGAGAGCTGAGCGGACACGGCAGCGTTCTGAATAGCGAGGAGAACTGAGAGGACACAGCAGCGTTCTGAATAGTGAGGAGAACTGAGAGGACACAGCAGCGTTCTGAATAGTGAGGATAACTAAGCGGACACGGCAGAGTTCTAAATAGTGCAGAGAACTGAGAGGACACGGTAGTGTTCAGAATACAGAGGAGAGCTGAGCGGACAAGGCAGCGTTCTGAATTACGTGGAGATGGGAATTCCAATCCTCTGCAATATTTAGAACGTTGCCGTGTCCTCTCAGAGTTTCGTGGCACCATAATGACAACTAAAAATAAATAAATTGTGTATTACGTGCAATCCTGTGTCATACACGTAGCATCGCAATTGCAATGAAAGCTACAAGAAGCTGCTTGATTTAAGACATCATTTATTTTTTAAATCATTTCTTCTTGCACAAGGTAAAATGGCATCATAAAATGAAGCTGTGATAATAAGGACTATTAACCCCTCCTCAGCCAGAAACTTATATTATAATAACAACTGAGCTTGTCCCCCCCTAGATTAATGGGGATTATATTTAACCTGTCAATCAGTCAGGGCGCGGGGTACACGATTGGTCTCAGGGAATAAAGTGATCTTCAGGACCCCAAAGTAAATAAAGAATTTTGTCAAAAAGATTCAATAAATGTAACAAATAACCAGCTTTTCATTTTGCTTTTGCCTTAAAATAATAAACACACAAATTAACTCCTGAAGATCTTTCTAAGGAAAGCAAAAAAAACTAAAAATATGACAAAAGATGCAGAGTGTGTTTTAATTAAAGCTTTAACTATGAAACGATGTGTCCTCTGTGGACTTACTGTGTTTTTGTGATGGGGCAATAGAGAAAAAAAGCCACTAAACATTTAGTTTAACGTTAGAGCCAATCACTGGCTGAGATTTCCACTGTGCCCCGTTGGGTAAAGGCGTTTGCAAGCCCGAGCCCGGGGCTTGTTTTCCTGGAGTAGAAAGCTCAGGGCTGTCCTTTGGGGCCGTTTGCTGACACATTTATGAAGATGATGGAGTGTGGCTGGTCTGGGAGTGGCTGACACAGAGAGCACGTTATAGATCTGCTTTACGGCTGTGTTATATGTTATATAAACTACAGCCCCATCCTACACATCAGCTCTAGGAGAAGGAATGAGCTGGATCGCGCAGTAACATATATCACGCATTCCTCAGACAAATGTCCTCCAGTACCAGTTGCTTAAAGGTGATTTTTTTAAACATCTATTTATTGCATAACTCTATCTGGGAGCAGCTGGTTCTGGAGCAACAATACTGTGACTTAATCTTCAAAACTGTGCAAATCGAGCCAGCAAATCTGTTTGCAATTATTATTCGCTAAGTGCCAGAGGTCGGCGAGGGCTGCTTAGCTCTCCTGGCACAAATAGGGTTAACCCATTCAATGCCAGGCATGAAACATGCATTGAATAGTGGAATATTCGGGCCTTCTGTTATGCCAGCACAGAATGGCGGATGGTAGGATTACCTAATCAATACATTTTATAAAGGCTTTGGGCTTTTATTCTGCATTGTACGCTTTCCGATCTCTGAATGGAAGGACAGAAAACTTTAATAGAATGCGCCAGAACCTTTCAATGAACCCTGAAGGGAACACAAAGACATCTCGCCTCCGAACACCATCAATTATTTATACAGCACCAACCTATTCCACAGCGCTGTACAACAGGAAACATGACAAACATGTAAATCTAACAAACACAATGGCAAACAGGAACAGTGGGTGAAGAGGGCTCTGCCCAAACAAGCTCACAGTCTAACAAAACACGATGACATATGGGAACAGTGCCCAAACAAGCTCACAGTCTAACAAAACACAATGACATATAGGAACAGTGCCCAAACAAACTCACAGTCTAACAAAACACAATGACATATAGGAACAGTGCTCAAACAAGCTCACAGTCTAACAAAACACGACAACAGATGGGAACAGTGCTCAAACAAGCTCACAAGCTAACAAAAAACGATGACATATGGGAACAGTGCTCAAACAAGCTCACAATCTAACAAAACACGATGACATATGGAAACAGTGCTCAAACAAGCTCACAATCTAACAAAAAACGATGACATATGGGAACAGTGCTCAAACAAGCTCACAGTCTAACAAAACACGACGACAGATGGGAACAGTGCCCAAACAAGCTCACAATCTAACAAAACACGATGACAGATGGGAACAGTGCCCAAACAAGCTCACAATCTAACAAAACACAATGACATATGCAGGGCCGGTGCAAGGATTTTTGCCGCCCTAGGCAAAAGTAAAGTTTGCCGCCCCCCTCCTCCCCCCCGTGACATCGCAATGCCCCACCCATATGACCTGCCATGTTAACTAACGCTAGTGCTGCAGTGCCGCTGTGTTTACATTAAAAGGCCTGCAGGGACAGGCTATAGACACCAGGACCACTACATTAAGGTGCAGTGGTTCTGGGGACTATAGTGTTTCTTTAATGTGAGGTAAATTAGAGATTAGTGCCACGAATAATATACTAGATTACCTACTTACAAGCAGATGAGGATGATGATGGGCTCTAGCTGCAGTCTGGCTCCACTGGTCTGGTGTATAACAGGATCTCTGGAGGCTGTTTGTAACTGTGGTCACACAAATCAATGTTCTGGGAGAACGAGAAGCAGCTCCATTTTTTGGGGGCCCTTTACACAGCTCAAGGTCTGGGTCCCAGGGTCCACCTTCATTTTCCACCAATGAGTTTGTTCACAGGGGATGGAGTGTGTAGGGAATGTCCTGATTTGTGTGTAAGGAATGCATTGTGTGAATCTGTGTTTGTATGTGTAAGGGCTGCAAGGTGTGTTTCTGTGTATGTAAGGGATGAAGTGTGTGAGTCTGTAAGGGGTGCATTGAGTGTGTGTAAGGAATGCATTGTGTGTTTCTGTGTGTGCAAGGGATGCATTGTGTGTAAGGGTTGCATTGCGTGTGTGTGTGTAATGCATTGTGTGTAATGCATTGTGTGTTTTTCTGTGTGCAAGGGGTTCATTGTCTTTGTGTGTAAGGGGTGCATTGTGTGTGATTGTGTGTGTGTGTGTGTGTGTGATGGATGTCAATCTCTCCCCCCTCCCTTGTCACTCTCTTCTCCCCCCTCCCTTGTTACTCTCATTCCCCCTCCCTCCTCTGTCACTCCCCCCTCCCTGTCAATTTCTCTCTCCCCATCAATTCCCCTCCCTGTCAATGTCTCCCCCCGTTATTTCTCCCTCCCTGTCAGTTTTTTCTTCTCCCTCCCTCCTCCTCTCTGTTTCTTTCTCCTCCCTCCCTCCCTGTTTCTTTCTTCCTCCCTCCCTCCTGTTTCTTCTTCTCCCCTCCCTCCCTCCCTGTTTCTTTTTCTTTCTCCCTCCCTCCTCCCTCCTGTTTCTTCTCCCCCTCCCTCCCTCCCTTCTCCCTGCTTTTCTTCTCCCCCTCCCTCCCTCTCCCCTGTTTCTTTCTCCTCCTCCCTCCTGCTTCTTTTCTTTTCTCCTCCCTCCCTGTTTCTTTCTCCCTCCCTCCTCCCTGTTTCTTCCCCTCCTCCTGTTTTCTTTCTTCTCCTCCTCCTCCTGCTTTTTCTTTCTCCCCTCCTCCTCTTTTCTCCCTCCTCCTCTCTTTTTTTTTTTTTCTTCTCCCTCTCTGTTTCTTTCTTCTCCCCCCTCGCTCTCTTTTTTTTTCTTCTCCCTCCCTCCCCTACCTGTGTGGTAGTGTGGCCGAGCCCAGTATAGTCCGACCGGTACAGGGAGCTGTTGTTTCCTGTACCCGGCCGGACTAACAGGAAGTGAACACTCAGTGCTCACTTCCTGTTAGTCCGGCCGGGTACAGGAGACAGCTGCTCTCTGTACCGGTCGGACCAATAGAGGGCTCGGCCACGCTACAGAGAGGGAGCTGACAGGAGAGAGCGCTCAGCGCTTCCCTCCTGTCAGCCTTCCTCTGCTGCGCTTCGGGAGCAAAAGCGTCCGCCCTCATGGACGCACCGCCCGGGCAAACCTGGCTGCAGCCGCCTGAGGCTCTATACAGAGCGCTCGGGCGGCTGCAGGATAAGCGGGGCCGGCGCTCCTGACGGCGCCCCCTCCCAAGGGGCGCCCTAGGCGGCTGCCTAGTCCGCCTTACAGGTAGCGCCGGCCCTGGACATATAGGAACAGTGCTCAAACAAGCTCACAGTCAAACAAAACATGACGACAGATGGGAACAGTGCTCAAACAAGCTCACAATCTAACAAAACACAATGACATATGGGAACAGTGCTCAAACAAGCTCACAGTCAAACAAAACATGACGACATATGGGAACAGTGCTCAAACAAGCTCACTGTCTAACAAAACACGATGACATATGGGAACAGTGCCCAAAAAAGCTCACAGTCTAACAAAACACGATGACGTATTGAAACAGTGCCCAAACAAGCTCACAGTCAAACAAAACACGATGACGTATGGGAACAGTGCCCAAACAAGCTCACAGTCTAACAAAACACAATGACATATGGGAACAGTGCCCAAACAAGCTCACAGTCTAACAAAACACAATGACATATGGAAACAGTGCTCAAACAAGCTCACAGTCAAACAAAACATGACGACAGATGGGAACAGTGCTCAAACAAGCTCACAGTCTAACAAAACACGATGACATATGGGAACAGTGCTCAAACAAGCTCACTGTCTAACAAAACACGATGACATATGGGAACAGTGCCCAAAAAAGCTCACAGTCTAACAAAACACGATGACGTATTGAAACAGTGCCCAAACAAGCTCACAGTCAAACAAAACACGATGACGTATGGGAACAGTGCCCAAACAAGCTCACAGTCTAACAAAACACAATGACATATGGAAACAGTGCACAAACAAGTTCACAGTCTAACAAAACACGATGACATATGGCAGGCTTCCCCAAACTCTGGCCCTCCAGATGTTGCTGAACTACAACTCCCATGATTTTCAGCTGATTTCATTCATAGAATCATGGTGTAATGAATACTGGTATTGCATGTACCTGTTTGCCTATTTTCTCCCGAACTGCTAGAGCCTGAGTGATTATAGCTCGCAGTTCGGGTGTTGATTCGAACGCTTCTCCAGACAATTATAGCATCCAAGTATATTCTCCCAGCAAAATAGACAGGTACCCAAACATGAGCCTAAACTAAATGAAGGGTATAACAGGATTGCTTTATTCAGGCTAACTGCCTGGCTTTTATGCAGTGAACAATGTACAGGGTTTCAGTTGACATATTCCCCACTGGACCTGAGAGGGGAGAGTGACAAAATA